GGATGTGCCGTTCCCATCGGGGTTTTATAGAGGCCCGTATATATAGATATATACATGCATAGTTTCACGGCTGGAGCCCACCTCGCCGCCAGCCTCCCCCAGCAGGCCGAGCCCAGGCTGGCTCTGCTCCGCGAGAGCTGAGAAGAACCAGGCCCCAGGAGTGTTTTCCTAACGCGTGCTGTGTGACGCACGTCCTGCAGCTCGTGACAGCCAGAGCGCCTGCAGTTCTCACCTCGCACATCCTCTGTTTGAGCTGGCCCCAAAAGGCCAGGGTTTCTGGGGGACTTGGAAAGAACGCGCCGCCTGATGAGCGGCTTAGCCAGGCCCTCGCTTTGCTGATTGCCTGGCCTATAATTACACCCAGCCCTGTGGCTCCCCCGGGGTGTCTCTTACCAAGCGCCACAGGAGTGTCCGGGAACTCTGCGTTCACCCGCAACTGCCGGTATCTGCAATTGCCCCCTCCTGGCCTTGCCCAGCCCTGTGCCCTGAGCCAGGTACGGGCTGGCCCTTGCACAGCGGTGTGTCCCTTGGCACTAGGTGGAAACCAAAGTGGAAGTAGCAGCGGAAGCTGCCTGTAGCTGTGTTAGAGAAAACAGTGATTTCTCACTGGCAGCAGTGAATGTCGGGGCAGTGGATCTTCCTAGACAGCCTGGGCTGAGGTGGTGTCTTTGGGTTCTTCTAGAAGCTGGCTGAAGTGCAGAAAACAGCCTGGCAGCAAGCCTGTCTTGGGAGGGCAAAAAGCAGGAGATTTATACATGATGTTTCTGCTCTTTACCCTATTAAGGCACTTACTTTCTCCCTTTGCTGCCCGATGGGTTTGTGGGTACATCAAAGGCTTGCGAGGGAGGATAGTATCAGTGTGTACTGGTGTTTTGACAGCCCAGCCCCATAAAATTGGATGTGTTCGTTCAAAGAGACGCTTGATGGCCCAGAGAACGTGCAGGAGGCAGCATGTGCAGCCCTTGGTGCTCTCCAGCTGGGAACCTTCCAGGTTCATAGGCCCTCTCCATTTTGGTATTATGCAAAGGTAAATCTTTAATATTGCTAGGGTTTGGCCAGCTGAGCCAGGAGCTGTGTGCAAGCGAGCTCCTTGCAGCAGTTTCTGCTCGCCGTTTGTGCAGGACAGCCCAGGGGATGCAGCCCAGGGCCCTTGTGGCAGGCGACTGCTGTAGATGAGTGCCTGCAGCCCAGGCAGGCCACAGCACCGGCCTGCAGAAAAGATTACAAGCGGTTGCAAGTTGGGGTGGAGGTTGCAGTGGGTTTTGTTCCCCATAACACTTTGCTGCTTTCATGCTAAGTTCCTCTCTGCTCGCTGGTG